TGCAGTGATTGTTATTCATTTGTAATTACAAATATAAACATTATATAATGCGATAAATCTTTGAAACGTGCTGGTTTCAGTTTTAAAAAATTGCTTTTAAAGCAAATAATTTATTTTAGTCAAATAAAAATAAGAATGAAAATTATGACTTTAAATCATTGTGTTGTAATAATTCATTTTTCAGAAGTAGTTATTAGTTAATTTTGAGTCATTAACTCGAATTAATTAATTAATTAATTACCAATTATGTTTGTTAACTTTTTTTATTATAACAAAAAAGTAGAATATATAATTTGTATATATAAGCGATGCTGAAAATTGATAAGAAATATAATTGGTATTATTATATTAATCATTTCGTTATCCATGCGTGTAATACATTTATGCATTGAAGGTGAATGTTATCAAATTGAGGCAAAGCAAAGTAAGGCATATAGCAATGTAAGGTAAGGCAAAACAAGGCATGACAAGGCATGACAAAGCAAGGCATGGCAGAATTCTTTGGTGGGTTTGTAGGTGGAAAGTTTGCCTACGGCGAATTCTTCTGCCTGTTGACATTTATTTAATAACAACCATTTATTTATCTATTTATTTATTTATTAACACATTTATTTCATTACAGCTAACAGTGGATTTTACCTTCTTTAAAACAAACGAGCAAAAAGAAAATGATACTGAGGTAAACGTCAGCATTTCAGGTATAAGATGAAATGCAACTTAAATGTAATATTTTAATTTCCAGAATTTTTGATTGCTTTTATAATGGCAAGAAAAAACAGGAAAGAGAACAGGTAGATAGGTAGATAAATAAATAGGTAGATAGATAGATAGATACATAGATGGATAGATAGATGAATAGATACATAGATGGATAGATGAATAAATGGATAGATAGATACATAGATAGATACATAGATGGATAGATAGATAGATAGATAGATAGATAGATAGATAGATGGATAGATGAATAAATGGATAGATAGATAGATGAATAGATACATAGATAGATGAATAAATGGATAGATGAATAAATGGATAGGTGAATAAATGGATAGATAGATAGATAGATAGATAGATAGATAGATAGATAGATAGATAGATAGATGGACAGTGAGATTTAGAAAAGTTCGTATGTGAGTGAAGCTTTTTAATTTCATGTTATTGCATCTCAAATACTTCTGAGATTTACCGAAAACATTTTTCTAACAATATGTCCATTTTAAGTCCACAAGTGACCTTTCTCTATCCAGCATGAAATGTTAACGTTTCTATATGGGTCAGTTCACTTTGCCGTCTCATTTATCTTATCTTATCAACTTATTATACTCGTGTTTGTTATTGAATAAGTTATGTGTAATGAATATGTGTGTTTGTTTGTAAATCTATATGTGCGCATTACTGGATATGTATAAATGCATGATACGAGCAATCATAATTAATAATAGTATTTGATAATAATAATAAGAATAATAATAGTGGTATTGATAGTACTTATACCAATCAAATATCCACTACCGCCACCGCGACCGTGACTGCCAGCATTACTGGGAGCCAGTCATCGCGGAAGTGGAATTTATATTATGAAGCCTCTGGTATTGCTAACTTATGTGACTATCGCAACGGTAATCCCTGCCAGTGGTCAGCAAGAGTCCTCTGACAATTCTCAGCATTCGACCTCTGACAGTACTCAGTCTTCGACAGTCTGTAGTTCCAATGAGATATTTAACGGGAAATCCTGTTTATGCGCTCCAGGGTAAGTTTTTTTTCTCATCATAAATTATGTAACTCAGCTAAGACTTCTGAAGTATAGCAAATAATATTATTACTCCTTAACTGTTACTTTATGCATTAAGCAAAGAATTGTAAAAAATTTCCCAATTGATATGAGAGTTTGTAATGATTAAGGAGCAACAGATAACTTAGCAAGTTAATGTTTGATTTAGCATCCATGAATTTGTTTGAGGTTTTGTCAAAAATTACAGTAAACCAATTAAAACCACTTCTGTAGTATATTTTTCTGCTTTATCTTAATGTAAGGGTAAAGAGTGCTAAGTCTATCACCAAAATCTCTTCATACTTTTGTCTATAAGCATTGTCACTATTATTATTAATGATCATTGTTATTATCATTAACTACTGATCATAATCATTATTGCCATATTATTATTATTTTTACTACTGTTGTTGCTGCCATTACTGAACTACTAAATATTTATTAAGATTTTGTTTACAAAGTGTGAATTGACGGAAACTGGTAGTTTAATTTTCAGTCAGTGAAATAAATATAAACATAAAAATAGCAATTGATATGTTTTCTTCAACTCTAACATTAATAATTTATTATTTTAGCAAAATCAAATTCTCCCAATACAATAAACATGTATAGTGGCATTTTGACAAATACAAATAATTATTAACTGCAATTTTTTCGCATAAATTTAATTATGAAAAGATTAATATTAGTATTTATTCAAGCAAGAGGTCATATTTTAGAGGTCACGTCTCTCGCAAAAGCATAAAATAAACTTATCCGAGTACTTACTTTTGAAAGCATTTTTCACAACAAACTTATTTATTAAACTTTAATTTACATGTAAGCCAATTTTTGTTCACATACTTTACTTTCTTCATACTGCATAATGATATTGGTTTCTCAACATGTACCTCTACATATTAAAGGCCATTTTTTGGTTGTAAATTAATTTAAATTAAACTGAGCACTGATTAAAGCTGTAGAACAAAAAGTGTAAGATTTTGAAACAAATATTATTTATGACTTCTGAAGTAACTTTCTTCAAAATTTGCGCTCACTGTCATTAAATGTTGTCAGCAAGAACTTGTTTCTCTATGGCTGCGCTATTATTTACTTTTCTTTAAATATCAAATTAGATTTCTTTCCTTTACTTTTGAAAAAAAATGATAAAATTGCCTTTTTTTGGTATAAAAATTGTTTTGACTAAACAACAATCTGAGCAGCACAACGTCTTCTCCAACTCACATCTGTACTACCTTAAAAGCTTATCATCAAATTGACAAATACTTGCAAACTTAATCTTACTTATTAATTGCAAATCAAAACTCGCTGATTACAGACCATTTTAGTATAATTATTTTTCAACTTTTAAAAGTTATAAAATATGCGAAAAAAAATTAAGCAATTTTAAAGTTTATAAAAATGTTGCATAATTATGCTAAGTAAAATTACTTAAGATTGAATGCTTTTCTTCGACTTTTTTTCATTTTTTTGTTTCAAATTAAATTGAATAATAATTTAAAACGTAGTGGATATGATAAGTATATCTTTTGCATTCTAACGTAGACTTTTTCCAGTGGAGTAATTTAAATATTCATTAAAAGTAAAGTTTTATTTTTCAGAAATTCTCAATTAAAATTTTTTGTATAAATGTTTGAAGAGTCAAAAATTAAAACTGATAAATGGAGCAAAGCAGTTTTTATCTGTTTATAACAACTAGTTACTGCTAAACAAAAGACAAGAAATAACTGTAAATGTTAGTTATTTTTATATTTGTATATCCAAACTTCATGCGTACTCAAATGCAATATATTTATTTAGAAATTTATTTGTCTTAAACACGAAGACAATATTCACAGAGACAAATAAAACAAATAAACTGTCTATTTTTATTTTATTTAATTATTATTATTATTATTATTAAAAATTACTTAATTTTTGATTTATTTTATTAAATTTATTTCTAAATATTAAGCCTAGCTAATTCAGATGCCTTCAGTCAGTTGTGAGAAAAAGAGCTTTCAAGCATACAATCACATTTGTAAGTGAAAGTTTAAGATTTGTGACTTGTATTCGTCTTTTTCATTATTACGTTATGGATATTTTGCCAGCAAACAATAATTTAGGATTTTATGTCTAAAGAAATGCCTGCATATATACATGATGTGAAATCTGTTTGATTTGATTTGATTTGAAATCAGTTAAACACAATTATCCTAAATGACGGCAGTGAGTTTTCCTCAGCAATTCGAGAGCAGAGCTTGCATAAATCCAATAATACTAAAAATAATAATTTTAATAGTAATAATGCTGCTAATAATAAAAGTAATGATGATAATAATAATAATAATAATAATGATAATATAAATAATAATAACAATAAATATAATATTAACTCTATTGAAATTGCTATCTTAATTACTTAAATTACATGATAATCTCTATTCGCTTGACTAGCAGATTATTTTAAAATGTTAATGAGGATCAATCCAAAGAAAAATTCTGCTATTATCTGCCACTGATAACTGATAAGGATAGAATTTGGGAGCATTAAACCAGTACAAGTCATCGTTATATATGTGTAATTTTTTGAAGAGACTAAAGCCAATTTAAATAAATTCTATTTGAAACTTAAATTATTAAAAGTAAAAAGAGTTACTTCATAGATACTTCAAGCAATCAGAAAAAGAGTCGAGATTACGTTGTGAAGATGAATGTGAAGAAGTCTATTACACGTTCTTCACTTACGGGGCATGTGTTAGTAATATCTATGGACGATTTGCGAAAGATATACAACCAAGCTGTAATTTACGGTAAAATTATTTTTGAAAGTAATCTTTTAGAAATTTAATCATCATTTTCAAATTTATCCTTGAGCCCTATTTGAAATACTTAAAAAAACTACGAATATTGAACTTTGAAAAAATATGAACTATAAAGAACTGCAAAAATTTGAATCAATGTTTTTATAGTATCAGGTTTAATATCAGTTCTAATAATCACATTCAAAATCAATTGAAACTGAAAATATATTGCTCTGAATATTGCAAATTTAAATTTAAATGTGATTCTTTTGCCCTTTTTGACTTGTAACCTTTGTATTAAATATAATAAAGAAAAAGGTAATATTATAAAAAATAATAATAATACAAAAGCTTCTATGCACATCAAGAACTGTGCAAACAAGTAATAGAATTCTCAGTCAAGCATTTTCATTTTGATGAAGCATTATTAAGATTATGACTTTCTGTAGCCTGTGAACAATATATGTGTGTTTTTTTTTTGCATATTTCTGAATCTGAATATATACACATTCTTTAACATCCAAATAAAAATATTTGTAATAAATAAATTGCTAAAAACTTTTTCTAATCCCATAATATTTCTTCACTGATCTTGAATATAAATTTGCTTTTACTATAATATTTTCAACTAAAGACAATCATAAAACATATCAAAATTTTCATTCTATAATTGATCAAAAAAATTTTTTAAAATTCCATCAAAATTATGAAGATCCAAAAGAGTTTCAATTTTATCAGTTTTTAAAAAAAAACCAGAAAAAAAATGAAACTTAACGTTCAAAAAATACACTGAGAATTCATAATTTCAAATTTCTCGAAATTAAAACCTTCAGAGAATTGTTTTCTGAATTTTTGAACAGATCAGTTTATTGAATATCCAAGTATTCCTTGTATTTCTCGATCAGTTATGCATGCATGCATAGTATTTCTGAGATTTTTATCTCTTCAATGGAATAATTTTTAGTTGTTTCAGATGTGGCATGAGAATCCGTACATTATCATCAATTGGGATTTTTCTTACCTTCGCAGCAGCTTTGGCAACTCTAATTTTCACCCTGCCACTGTTCATAGCGACATGCGCATCGTGTCTGAATGCTAGAAAAGTTTGACATTCTGTTTTCTTCATTCTCAGTACTTCTGAATCTTATCTCATAAGAGAAATATAAATTAGTGAATAAATAATAAACATTGCTTTTAGCTAAATGAAAACATTTTCAATTAAAGCTAACACATTCATTACTAATGTATTTGGTAGTAAATTTGCAAAGATTGTAAGTTAAATTTGTGTATTTATTTACTTCAAGTAAAAATAGAATATTTTTGCTTTCAATTCTATAAGAGTAAAAGATTAAAATCGTTTCAGATTTACTTAAAAAAGGAAATATTTATTTAAGAATGCAAAGCATAGTAATGAGTATAATTATTGTTTGTTGAAGATAAGATTATTATTTTTTTGTTAATTAATTTACTTAGTAATAAGTTAATAATTTTGTTATTATTTGTGAAGTAATCTAAATAGTGTAATACTACAAAAAATACGTAAATAATTAAAAAAATGATTGCTCATTTCATTTTTGTTTGTCAAATTATTTTCAAACAAAGTAAGTGATCTAAGAAGTGAACGAACATAAATGTGGAACGAATTTGTTAACAAAGTATTTTAACACTAATCTATTGTTTTCTTATTTTAATTTTTTTTAAATATTTGAGAGTTTACTATCTTTTGCTAACTATTTTAGATTGTTCTTCAGTATTAGTTAGTTATTTAGTGTCGCAAAAATTTACACTTGTAAGCTCAGTGAGAATTTAATATCAATCTACCATTTTAGACTTAAAAAATATAAAAAATAATTAATTTTTGTTCGTCTTAAGAAATGCAAGTCTTCTTGCGAAAATCGCAATCAAAATAACAAATGCAAGTTTTGTAGCGAAAATCGCAATCAAAGTAATAAGAAAAATTTGTCATAAAATTTAAAAAGATAGATTAATTTTGTAGTGAAAAAAATGTAGAAATGATATGCAGAAATGTAGGCAATGCACTGAATGATTGGAATATCTCAGATATAAGTAATACTGATTCATTAGGAGTGAATAAAGTTATCAAATGAATGTGATTATAATTGAGGGAAACAATATGATAGCGTATGATTTTATCTGTGAATAGAATATAAAGATGATCAATTAATTAATATGCATCCGTATTTGATATGCAATAGATTGAGCGGAATTTGACGTAGTAATTAAGTATTCTGATCAATAATTCTTAATTCGTAAGTCATTAAATCATCTTGAATATGTATATAGGGTTTTAATCTGAATGCATTATGCAAATGCAAACTTCGCACTACGTATTCTAACTGTTGGAAACATTTTACTACCTTTACTGATAGAGTTGTTTGTAAAAAGCGAATTTGCGTAGTTAATATAAGATTGACTTGACAAACTTGAAAAAAGTTGAATTATTTTACTTTTTAGATTACTTTTAAAATTATGACAAAAATGCAATCTATTACTGATTACTCTACAATTTACTTAAACAATTTTAAATTAAATGCAAATTTTGTTAATTAATTTTAATATTTTTAGGCAAACAAAAGGGCGAAAAGAGTATTTATGGAAGCTCAGAATCAGCCAACTAAGGAGCAGCAGCTACAAACACTTTCCTATAACCCTTACGCATATTGGCCATATTATGGACGAACCTGATGAATGCATTAGTCGTATCTGATAGTGAATTTTAATATGCAAACTTAGTGTTTTGCAGATAAGACGATGCTGAAGTAAGCAGCGACAAACAAACTACAATTTTGCTACTTTTACATCAATTATAGTAGTATGAAAAGTGCGCAGTAAAAATATTGAATATAAATTCTTGACCTAATCGTACTGTTATTACTTTAGCATCGGATTGTACCAGGTTAACCTCATGTATAGATACGCTATAACTCTCATAAATAATTTTACTTATTAAAGTGGTGAGAAAAGAAGCAAAAGTAATTAAAATTTATTATTATTAACTCACTAATAATAATAGCATTGAGTAAATTAAAAAGTGTGGAAAATTTTTGTGTATTAATTAAAAAGTAATTACGTGACATCATGCGTGCCACTTTTTGATACATTTATTTTCTGTGATAAAATTTTGCAAAAAATGTAATTTGAACGCTTAAATAAAAAATTATGTCAATTATTCGTACATTTACAGAAAATGATCAAAATACATCATTCATTGCAAAAATGGTCAAAAATTTTGTCTTGGCAATAAATACAAAATAACACAGAATTATTCTTAAGCAAAGTACAGTGAAAACTTGTTAAAAAACGGATAATAAGTAGAAGAACTGACCATTTGTGATCCATTTGCATAATTCAATGACTTTTACGCTCTTGTAAAAAAACGGATAATAAGTAGAAGAACTGACCATTTGTGATCCATTTGCATAATTCAATGACCTTTACATTCACTTTTTTCATTAAAAATATCCAATTTATTCAATTTTATAGCACAGTTTTGATAATTTTATGGATTGATGCACGCATTGCACATTGCATATTATAGTTAGTCATAATATCTCAAGCAAAGTTGCAAATTTTGCCTCAAGCAATTACTCATTTTTTGCGTTTAATTACTTAAAGTCTTTAATTAATTATTTCTCCATTTAATTGTTTAAGTAAAGAGTTGTAAGAATCGAAGAGCAGATGTTATTAAACTTTGTTCTACTGTAAAGTTTGCTTACGTTTCAATCTTTTTTACTGAGCAAAAATACTTTTTATCAGTTTAATCGCTGATGGAAACATATTTTTAATAATTAACTTTAGTAGTGTGAAATTGAAAAGGAATTTTTCGTGTAGATTTGTTTCATTTATGATAATCTACCATCTGTTCAGTGGATAAAAGAATTTTCAAGTTTCTCTCTGTTTAATTTCTTTGTTTTACCTAATAGTGAGGATTGATAATTTTTCAAACCAATGAATTGCGTTGAGTTTACTCTCAGAAAGTTAATTTGGAAAGATGAATAACTTTAAATATTTGAATAAAACTTTTCGCAAGACTGAAGTAAAGTGAAAAACGAAGAGCACAGCTAATTATTGTAATGGCTGAAAGGCAAATATGACAATTTGCTGAGATAAAATTAGCGTAAAATTGCTTAAACTTTGTGCTATTTAAAAAAACTTCGTTGTAAATAAAATATATTTTGTGTTAGACAGTACTTAGCACAGCTAAATTCAGCGTACTAACTAGCAATATTGCGTTATGTTCAGCTTTTCTGCTTGCATATGGCAAAGAAATTGTAATGCAGTGAGTTGTAAAATATCAATATAAAATATGCATATGTCATAGAGGAATTTTCATTGAGTTTCTGCTGTAATTGAAAGAGAAAGGATAAAGTAAAGTAAATCGATAAGATAACAGCAAAGTAATATGCAAAAAATGAATACATGAAAGTATTGTACTATCAATCTTAACACAAAGTTAGAGCAGTTCTTGTCAATATTGAGAAAAAGTTAAAGCACTGCAAATAATGAAAGACTGATTGTAATGAATTACTATTCTATAATGAGCTGTTCAGTTTCAGGAAGTTTCACCTCAGAATGTTCACTTTGATGTTGAGAATCCAGAGAAAAAAGTGCGCAGAAACTCTGTGTTCATGGAGATATTAACAGTAGCAATATCAGCAGTCTCCTTCCATCTGTATTTTCGATTCTATCATTGTTTATCATCATCTTTACTGATATTATCAACCATGATATTTACAAACATTCGCCATAAAACCATTCAAAAGTCAGGTATTTTATACATTGCGAACAATATGCTATTTATAGGTGAATTCAATTAAGCGTACGCTATTTTGTACTTAATTCCTAGTAGTTATTATCAGATGTGATATGACTTTAAATACTTATTATCGAGTTGATAAAAGAATTTTACTTTTCAAAAACAATAAATTCAAATTGACTGACATTGAATGTTTTAAATTAGATTCATTTATTTAACTTTTAACAAAAAATATTTTTGTCTTAAGTCATTGTCAACTACTGTTATTGTAATATGAAATTGTTCAATTATTTTTCTAACATTTTCACTTGGCAATGATTATAGATAGAAATTTCCGATTAATGAGCACTATTATTGTTATTACTACTATTATTATTACCACTATTATTATTAAAATTATTATTATTGTTATTGTTGTTGCTTCGCATAAAATTTAAGAAAAATTCTTGTGCAGTGCTTTAATTCCTTAATCTTAATCTCATTTGCTTTGAATGCTTTCAGTAACTTATGCTTTATTTCTTTTCTACATTAAAAAAAATATAATTATAGAATACAGTCAAGTAATACAAATGTAACAGAAAATTTGAAGATTTTAACTTTTTGTAATTGCGTTTTGGTTACGTAAACTGTATTGGATATACTGACTGCTGCAAAATAAGCTTAATTATCAAATTTGAAAAATGGTTCGTGAATTCTGTGACACTTTTTAATACACTAATACAGTCTAATTATTTTACTTGCTTAGTTTAAAGTAACAAAAAAGGCTAGTTAGTATAACTAGCCTTACAGGTGGCTAAACATTCTTTCAAATATTTATTCTTGCAAATTCAAATATAATGCGATCAAATTTTATTTACAACAGGCTAATATCAATGAAATATGTCTTAGATGACTGAGATTTAAATTTTCATTTTCAAATTTCGAATAAATAATGCAACTGAAAGACTAAGACTAATAAAATGATTATTGTATTTGTTAAAAATAATTCTGTCAAAATTGTGTTCAAAAGTTAAATGGCTGTTTTCAACTTTGGCATATTTATCAAAATTTGCAAATGTAAATTTTGAAGGAGAAATTAGCATTGCAGTGAGATGGGAAGAGCTTGAAGGAGTGAAGAAGCGAAATGCTATTCTCTGGAGACTAATCCAAAAATTTTGAACTAAATTTGAGAAGTAGTCTCAATTTATTTGACTTTATATTGTGCAGTAACTCGTACGTTTCTCACACTTTCATTTTATGACTAACTAACTTCTAGCTTAGATGAATGCATCAAAGATTTCTTTACTTCTGCTAATCTTTACTAATACTTTTCAAGATGGCAGCAATCGAACAAGTGACTACTACTGACTAACTGCATATTGCAGCATTCTTACTGCCATCAATTAGAGCAAATGGTTCGTCATTGTTATGCAAATTATCAACTTTCGTATGTAATTTGTAATTTAATCATTCTGAGAGATTTTTCAATTCAATATCATATTTAATCAATATATACATATATTTATGTATGCAATAGCAATCAAGAATTGATTTCTCGTGATGCTACTTTGAATTTTAAATTCTTCCAGCTTTTTTCTTTCATTTTATTTCAGATTTTGATTAGAAAAAGAGTGATTATTGTAACTGTCAGTGTATTCTTTTCTTATGTACTGTGCATTGTAGTAGCGAATTAAAGCTAAAAGTATAACAAGAATACTTGTTAAAGTATGCATATATCTAAGAGATCACGGAATTGAAGTGTGACATGGCGTAAAAACATGAATCAAATAATAATATCGTGTGGAGAATTCTATTTTTAATCTCTGCACAAGATTCGTGCAAATAAAATGATTGATTGCATGAAAAAAAATGTAAGAATGACTTATGGTCATTAGTAGGCCTAGAAAGCACTTCACTACAATGTATGAGACTCTGCAGGGATTTGTTGCATCAAAATTGTGAAAATTCTTGATGGGTCAAGTTCAGTCTTCAATGCTTCTTACATGTAAAAAGAAGAATAGAACAGATCTGACTTTCAAATTGACTAATTTATAACTGATTCTTGGAGTGCAGTTATGTATCCCAAAGGATTTCAAAGAAAATGTCTTTCTTAATATGCAAATTTTTTCTTTCATTCTAATATTGATAATTTCTTTTGTTGCGTATATAATTTATCACTCAGAATTTTAGTATTACTTAAAAATTTTGATAACTTTTTCTTAATCAGAAATCACAGATATCACTTACTTTTCTCTGTTATATGCAAAAATATTCTAAATTTTGGCAAGAGAATAAAATGAAATTTAGTTAGATTCTTCTCAACTTCTTTCTTTTTGCTAGAAAAATAGCACTTACTCTCGAAGAGATTTAGACTATTGACAATATGCTAAATGTAATTGTAATAACTTACTTATAAATAAATATATTGATAATGAAGTAATGATTCTTTATTATTACAGTATATTCTTTGTAGTATATTCACTGTCTTACTTTAACTTCAGAAGTGTAAAGTATATAAGAAATTAAAGGAGGTAAGTACTTATCTGATAATTTTAATATAATTGATTGCTTGCAAATATCAAAGGAGTTAATTCATTCTTGCTATTATTAAGAGTTTGTGTTTAGTGACCAGAAGAAGTAAAATGAAAAGAGAGCCCATCGAATGCATTAAATAAGCATTGTGGAAAGTGAAGGGCCTTTGCAGAATGTATGAAGTAAAGTGCCAAGTCCAGCCTTGCTTTCTTTTTTCATTCAAATTATGGATTCTGAAGACAGCATTGAATGAAGCACACTCCTACTATGCTAGAATGTGCTTGAATTTTTAATTGATATTAATAAGAGTGATTATTCAAGAACTGTCATATTTTTAGTATGAATATCTCAAATGGAACAAATATGTTTGTTTTTCTTAGCAGTTTTTGTCTGACTTTAAAGTGAATGAAAAGTTAGTATTGATTTATTGATAACAATCAATAAGAATTAATCCATCTGAAGGCTAAAATGATGAAGTAGAATTGGAAAAAATTTGCATTTTCTGATTCGTTTGCTTCGCAAACTTTGATTTCATTTGTGCAATTTAGGACAAAAGCATTGCTTCTTTTGTTGCGTTTTGCAGTAAATATTGCGATAATTCTAAACCTAAGAAGAAAGTTTGAAGACTAAGTTTGTGTAGATGAAAATGTCAACTATATATACTTTTATTTGGCTAAACTTAACTCATATCTTAAACGAATTTATTTACACCAAAAAAAAGCAAACAAAAATTGACATTGTTTAAGCTCAAATGCATCGCAATTAAATTTCAAAGATTAACATTTAGACGAGCACTAACTTTGATCACGGAAATGTACGTGAGCCTTAAGTCTGTTTATCAATATTGCTGTGTATATTCTTATCATTCATCGCACTGATTACTTTGGTAGAGACGAGAAATAATCCAAAAAGTAATGAAGTTGCTATTTTTGATGATTTATTCAATATATGCAAGTAGTAATTTAAAAGAAAAAATAAAATTTAAAATTAGGCGATGTCAATTTATTTATTATATTTAAAAGATAGTCGAAATACACGGATATGTCTATTAAAGCCCAAATATTTTTTGAAAACAACAAAATTTCAATACAATTAGTATAATCATAAGTATTTTTAAAAATAAATAGCTTTCACATGGATAAATTTCTGTTTGTAAAATATCAAATTACACATATGATAGTGTGCTTTTATTCTGATCAGATCAAAAAATGATTTTTGATAATTTTTGCATGCGTATTTTATGATTATTTTGCATTTGACTTGTTGTAGTGAAGAAAAAATTGCTGCTATTTTGATGAAAAAAAAATTTCTTTCAAGTTGTGATCAAATGTGATAAGATTATTAAAGTGGCAGCAAGATAAGACTGTAAACTAAAACTAAAATAGAGTAAATGTAAGCAAAGCTAAGCAAGCTAGAAAGTTCTACTGATAGTAATAGTAGTAATATTCGTAATAGTAGTGGTGTAAGGGAGTTAGTTAGTTAGTTAGTTTATAAGTATTACTCGTTCACTGCTTTGTTTTACACTGCTAAAGATCTATCTAGCTAAGCTTTACTAGCAGTATTAAATGCAGAAACATCCCTAGAAGAATGGAGAAGGAAAGAATGAAAAGCTTTGCTTTGCTTTGCTTTACTTTACTTTACTTTACTTTATTTTGCATTACTTTACTTTGTTTTTGCTTTCAACTATTTTTACACTTCTTTATACAATCTTATTCATTCGATCAGCAAATGAGTATAGATCAATTCAAATTCGATTCAAATTCAATTCAGTTCAATTTAGTTCAATTTGGTTCAATTCAAATCCATCCCACCCACTTGCAAGAATAATCTTTTACTGCTTTTTCCAATTCTTTTCACCTCCACTTCTTCAATACTTACTTTTGTTCGTGCCAGTAACTAACACAAAGACAAACGTCTTCTTATTCTTACTCTAATTTCAGTTACACACATCTTCTTATTTTCATTCTCTATTCATAATCATAATTACACTCATAATCAGCACTCATAAACATATCATTCATTATTTACTTTTGAATGCTTTAATTCCAATCAAATGCACTTGCCTGTACGAGCAAGTAAGTATACACAGCATTTATTCGCTCTAAAATTGTGCATGCAATTTTATTACTCATCTTTTTGGTTTCTTTTTTTCAATAATATTACAAGTATTTGCATAGTATCTTGCATTCTTCACACTTACATTACTTTGAATTACGTGAATATTCACGGCTTTATTTCAAATCTATAGCAGACTATAAAGTGATAGCATCACAAAATATTTTCTTATTTTACTTCATCAAGTTTGTAAATTCTTTATTACTTTTATCGAAAATGTGATTCTACATCTGCCATAAAATATACTACAAATTTTAAGTTATCTATCCATCTGTCCATTTATCTATTCATCCATTCATGCATTCCCTCATTCCTTCATTCATTCATTCATTCATGCATTCGTTCATGCATTCATTCACACATTCATTCGCTTTATTAATTTTTCAAATCGACTTTTTCTTTTTTGAAATATTTCGCGCTTTTCTGTTCTACACACTGACTACAAGTTTGTTTGTTATGATAAAGCAAAAGATTGCCATGAAGCTTAGAAGTGAAACTTCAGCTGTGGTCCACGTGAAAAATGCCTTCTTTCTCTCAGCAGATGCTTTTATCTTCTCAGTCCATTACAATTTTGAGCATGCGAACTTTCTGAAGCACAAAACTGCCTGCCATTCACCACACACGTCCATATCATATAGTATCAGCGAATCTCAATCCATTTTACCTTCCTTCTAATTTCTCTCACTAATTGCCTCACTGCCCTACGCTTGTGTAATTGACTTGAATTGCAATGCTGCCAAAGTTGCATATATTTTGCACGTTAGGAATCTTCTTGAGATTAAGTTGTCCGCTTTTAAGTATTTATATGTTGTAATTACAATAATAATGAACCTGAAAGCAGATTTATTCATATGCAACACCGAATATCAGCAATGTCTCTACAATTGGATATCACATTTTCACAGTGGGTGAGGTATTTCAAGCTAAAGGGTGAGCGCATTTTTTATACTTATCTACGCATGCTTTATACTTATCTACGCAAGTTTATTAATCTCAATTCATGCTGTCCAACTTTTGCTCTTTTGTTTTTAGCAGTAGAATGTTACTTTTCCTCTCTGGACTTTTCACGTCTGCCAAGCACGTACTGCGACACGTGTAGACGTCATACTTTTCAAAAATAATGTATTCACTATTCTCATTGTTTTATATAATTTCTTAGTCATTTCCTTCGTGCAAATGATTTAGAACGGAATATGCTAAAAGTATGCGGAGTTTATATTAATCACATAACATGAATCAACTCATAATTTGTCTATAAAGTATGGTCAGTAACGTAAGAACTATCTTGCATGTTTTCCTTGTGGTCCCCAATAATTTAACATGTACTGAATATACAGTTTGCATATACTCTGTATTCAGCAATATTCTAAGTTTCACTTCAATTTGCCGTACTTTAATTTGTTTCTGATGTCTGAATTACCTCAAGACTACTGTATCTTTGTTTTGGTTGACTGAGGAAAGAGCATAAAATTTACTTCTTCCATACTTATCATTGCGTTTCATTCTGAGACATATTTTGTGTTCAAAACAGTCAGCACTGAGAGTGCTTCAGTTTCTTGCATTATTCAAAGCTATCATTTGAAAAATATTATTTAAGTAAAACTAATTTTTGTGGTTTGTAAGTCTCGGCTCATTCTTGGTGTCAAACAACCCTATCCCTCTCAAAGATCTAACAAGCAAATATAAATAATAGAAGTTTTATTGGTTTGGTACTTATTGTTTTTCATAATTTTAAGGACAATAATTTGCTGAGTAAAGACTTGGCTAAATACTAATGAAGTAGCTAACGGTGTGAAGAAGGACAAAAAGCTATATCCCTGAAGAACAGATAATAATAAACCAAACAAAACTCAGTTATTTATATTAAAATTGCATATTATATGTTCATTTGAGTTGATAATTGGAAGTTAGTCAGACTTGCAGAATAAATATATGATACAATACTTGAATATATTCGGCAGTAGAAAATTGATCAAACAAGTCTTGTTGGATATATGTTTTAATTAACAAAGTTTAGAAATGATGATAAAATATTTTATCGTCATTTCTCTACGTTGCTCGAATATTCTAACATTGTTCTAACAATGTATTAATCCTAAAATTGGTTGTCAGTCAGTTATTATAATTGCAAGCTATAAAAATTGAATTTTAACTTTTGTGCATTTAAAGAAAATTTGTTTAAATTGTATTTGTCAGTAATTTGCTTCAAATTATTGGCTATTTCCAAGAGATATTTCAGTTAAATTTCTGTGATAAATTTACATCGTACGTGTTTGTTGAATCAAGTAAGACAGAAAAGTTTGCTGAAGTGAAAGCGAGGAAGAAGTTATTTGCCCGAGTAGTGATCCATTCTGACTAAGAGCAACTGCTTGTTTATTTTTTGTTGACGAAAATACCCTTCTACATTTGAATTCTTTTCATTCACTTCTTCTATCGATATTGATAATGTATATGATCATTTTGTAAAACTGTTTCTTTCTCTCGTTTTATTCATTCATATTTGCTATTCACGGATTCATATTGTATCATATCTGATATCGGCGTAATAGAATGCAATTTTACACCTTCCACCACTTAATTCCAGCACAGCACTCACTCTATTCTCATCACAAAATCTAACTTATTCTCTTAGTTTGCTCAAATTTTTTGTTTCTTGAGTAATTGAGTTATTATGTTTTTGAGTTAGTTGGAAACGAACATTATCCCTTCCGTTGGAAAATGGACTATTTTTATGATGTTTGCTACATTATTAGATTGTGAAAAAATGTCCAGGCTGTTCTTAACTGCAAAAGAATTTGGGCATTTAAAGTTATTGAAAAATATGCTCTTGCTTTGTCATTATCATAGAGTCCTTTTTTTCTCTTAAAAGTAATCGTTTTTAATTTTTTAAAATGAGTAAACCTCAAAGTGATTAAATTTGTCTTGACGTATTATTAGTAGAAATCGGTTTATCAAAATAAGTTTAACTGTTTGAACAGGTTGAAAAATAGACGTCAATTTGACAATATTCTTGTCATATTATTGTCGTTATGAGATGAATTTATTTTACAGAAATTGGTACTGCAAGATATAAGTTGTCAGCTGTTGACACCAAGTAACCAAAAAAAAGAAAAAAATGGGTGTGATAACATTAAATGTGGTTTGGTCACCTCAAGGAGACGAACAATCCCAACTAAAAAAAGCAATGCAGTTCGAGTCTACCACACTAGTTTTTGATGCATGTAAAATTATACGAGAAAAAGTATCTGGAAATAATATTAATCGTAAGTTCTGATTATTTTCCATCTTTACATCATAAGTGTTTGGTTCATCAATTTTGTTACTTCATCATTCACTAATTGCACCAGAAATTGATAGCAAGTCTTTGATTAAAGTTTGTACAAACAACTGTGTATTCGAGGTGTCTCATTTATTTAACAAATTTCATGCAAGCTAGTATTTTCGTATGTTTTGTTTCATCTTCTAGCTGTACAATTATATTTCTTGTTGTGTCATGTTATCACCATTTCTATTTCTTGTTGTGTCATGTTATCACCATCCCATATTCATCTACATTTTATTCTTTCAACATTTCTTTTCCTTTATTTGTTGGAATCAGGTTTAGTAGAAAGTTTTCATTAATTGTAGCTAAAGAATATGGGATGTTTCGTCTAGAGGAAGATCCAACGAAATGCGCTTGGATGGAAAATGGTCGAACTTTGGAGTATTATTTGGTCCGCAGCGGTGTAAGCGAATATCACTATTCTTTTAGCTAAAATGAAACAGATAGTTATTGACGAAAAACACATGTGGATGGTGATGGTCTGGGTTCTTTCCAGGATACAGTTGAATACAAGAAGAAAATTCGACCTTTAAAAGTAAGAATGCTCGATGGTGCTGTAAAAACAGTAATGGTAGATGAAAGCCAACCAGTGGGCGAGATCATGGTCGTTGTCTGTTCTAAAATTGGAATCAGTAATCATGAAGAATATTCAATGGTTGGAAATAAATGCTTGTGTTTATGTAGTTTTTTGTTTGATGAGAAATATATATTTGAGATATCTAGTACTAACCTTGTGAAAAAAATTACTTAATAAATAAAAAGTCATTTAAATAGGAATGTAGTGTTAATTATTTGAGATAAATATTAGCATAACCATATATCAGGTACGTCAATCACCGGATCAGGATTGGCGTTCTACACTCACATTAAGGGATGAAAAAAGAGGAAAGAGCGAAGAAAGAGGTATTGGCTTTGGAACTCTAGGACGAAATAAGGAAAAGAAAATGGAGCAGCTTCGCCAAAAATTGCACACTGATGAAGAACTATTATGGCTTGATCATGGCAAGACTCTACGTGAACAATCAGTCAGTATATTTCGGATCACTATAAAAAGCATTGCAATAATTAATTTCATATGTAATGGATTATTTTAAAAAGGTTTGCAAATGGATTTAGTCCGTATTTTCATATTTCCAGAAAATATGTTTCAGGTATCTGATGATGAAATGCTTTTCTTGCGTCGTAAATTCTTTTTTTCTGACACTAACGTTGACTGCCGTGATCCAATTCAACTTAATTTATTATATGAGCAGTGTAGAATGGGTGTTTTACAAGGAAATCATCCAGTTACGCGTGAAATGGCATGTAATTTGGCAGCTTTGCAGTGCCAAATACAGTACGGTGATTTACAGGAGCATCGACAGCGCAATAACTTTATAGAGTAAGTTTGAACTGAGAAGATTATGTAGACTCCTTTCTTCCAACGTATTTTTGATGAAAACATTTGCAGTCTCCGGGAAATCTTACCAAAAGAATACATTAAATCAAAAGACAGTGAAAAGCGTGTAATGGATGCTTACCGTGAACTAAATGGAAAAAGTGAATTGGATGCAAAAAGTAAATATGTTCACTTGTGCCGTTCTTTAATCACTTATGGTGTTACATTCTTTGTGGTAAAGGAAAAAATGAAAGGTAAAAATAAATTGGTACCAAGATTGTTGGGTGTTAACAAAGAGTGTGTGATGCGAATGGATGAAAAAACTAAGGAAGTACTCCAAGAATGGCCACTGGAACAAGTAAGACGATGGGCTGCATCACCAAAAACATTTACATTGGTAAGAGCTTATAAATTTCCTGATCTGAAAAATTTCTGATACTTGAAGAAATTGATTGCTGTAATTTAAAAGACTGACTAACAAAAATTATTGCCAATTATTATCAAATTTGTAAAATGTGTATGTAATTTTTTCTTTAGAACTCTTTAAACAACGTATTTAATGCAGGATTTCGGGGACTATCAAGATGGTTATTATTCCGTACAAACAGCAGATGGAGAGAAGATTGCCCAGTTGATTGCTGGTTATATTGATATTATTTTGAGAAAGAAACGAACTCGTGACCATGTTGGCATAGAGGTTACAACTTCAACTATTCGATTTTTCTTCGCTGTACAGAATTCAAAATTTGTAAGCTAAATTTTCCAATACAGGGTGATGAAGGTTCAACGATGCTAGAAGATGTTGTAGCACCAGCTCGTGCTACGTTAGTTGCGCATGGTCATATTGGTGAAGGATATGCTCAAGAAGGTAATGTTGCCATCCCTGGTGTGTTACGAACTCCTGGTGGTTTAGCATCTGGTCAGAGAGGAGCTGTGAATGGTGCACAATATGGTGCTGTAAGCGGACAGATTCTTCAGCATCAGCTGGCCAAAGTAAATCTTTGGAATGATTTCCTATGGTTGCAGTATTATTAGAGGAATATGTTTTGAAATTTTCTAGACTTTTGAGGTTCGAAATCAATTGTCTTACGATACCGAAGTTTCTAAACATATGAATTCTACATCTGTTTTTGTATGGAAATTTTTTTGCCTTCATAATTAAAAATGCAAACATATAGGGCCAACGACCGCGCATAATAAATTCGCAAGAACGTGCCCAACGAGCTCTTATTGGTACAATTGAAGCATCTATTCGTGCTGTTGAAGCCGCAGAGGAAGAAATGAAAAAACCAGTTGAAATAGAGATCCCGCGATTTACTGATGATCCTACTTCGCGCCGCTGGATTGAAACCAAAGTGGAAGTTGAAAAACAAAAAGTAATTTTTATACTTATTGAACATTCGTTAAACATCATATCAAAATTTCTCTTGCAGAAATATTGGTGCTTTATTGTCATGTAACATTTTTTAGTTGATTGATATTGGGGATAATATTTATTGAGGTGGGTGACCAGCTTGCGCAAATGGGGGCTGCTACAGCTCAAGTAGTACAATTAACAGCTGTTGTCGACGAAATAGATTCAAAAGTTGGTACAGCAATAGCTACTATTGGATCAAATATGCCTGAAATGGGTCGGGGAGTGCGTGAATTGGCTGCTTTGATGCCAGATAAACAGCGACGGGGTATGTTAAAGACCATATTTCCTGTTTTTCGGAAGTATATTCAGACTTTTATTTAATATTATAAACTGTGAATCTGTTCTCACTCTATAAGTTTGTTTATAAAAATTGCTTCAGGTGATCTGGTAGATGCTGCTCGAAAGTTATGTGGAGCATTTTCTGATTTTTTGAATGCGGTTAATCCCGAACATGAAGAAAAACGGACAACAGTGCTTGCCGCTGCAGGACGCGTTGGAGATTTTTCACAAGCTGTTATAAATACTTTAGATGAACCAACGAACGAAGTGAAATCATTCCACGATCATTTGGTGCAGCGTGCCAAAAATGTGGCTACTTCGACTGCACAGCTTGTACTCAGGCAAGTTATCACATTACAGTTCCTAGCTTATTGCTGTGCTTTCAGTGTTTGCGAAACATTCATACTCATTTATTAAAATATTTCTCAAAAAATTGATGTCCTTGGCAACAAAATGTAATGAAAAAATCATTTGCTCAGACATGATTTTCGTACTAACTTTTCCACTGTTTCTTCATTAACTGTTATGAAAAAATAGGAAATCCACATTCATACCTACTGGAAAATTGTGTAAAATCAATCTTCCGCTAAAGATAATAAATATTCTAATCTTAAATTCTTCTGCCATTCTCCTGCCATTTATTTTTTTACTTGCATTTTTCAAAATTTTCCATTTTGCGGAGTCGAGAAATTGTAGATTATATTTCTTTAGTAGTTTAAAATATTCGGAATGAAGAAATATTTGTAATTTTTGAAATTTTTGGTCAACTTCAAGATAAGATAGAACAATTATAGATTTATAAACAATAAAAATACAAATCGTTGCTGAAGACTTTCATGTCAAAAAATTAATTTGTAATTAGAATTTTTACCCTTTGTCAATTTCGTTGCCGTTTTATACTATCTTATCTGAAAAGTTCTATTTGCATTAAACTGAATAATTTTCTTTGCGGACAAATTATAAATTTACATTTTTCGGCAGCCGTAATTTTCTAATTTGCTCCATTTACAGAGCTAAAACAATATCCTCAGAATGTGAGGAGCCAGCATTACAAGATAAAGTAATTCATTCTGCCACACAGTGTGCTTATGCTACTTCTCAACTTGTTGCATGTGCGCGAGTTGTTGCGCCAACTATAGATTCTCCTGCCTGTCAAGAACAGTTGACGTCTGCTGCTAAACAAGTAGCTAAAGCTGTTGAAGAATTGTTGGTGGATGCACAAGAAGCTTGTAAGAAAAGCAGTAGTGACGGTAAAAAATCATATCATAATATTCATGAGGCTGCGCGAGAGGTTATCTTTTAAAGTGCTTTCTTGTTTTCTGGTTAGTGTTGTTACACTAATGTTGGTAAAACTAATGAAAGAAATAATAATTTTATGTACTGATGTTTTGGAAAAAATGTTTCTTTCGTTTTTTTGCAGGCTATATTTTGTATTCCGAAGGTATCACTGAATAAAATTGCAAAAATTAATTCATTTTGAATCAGTGGACACCACATTTTGCTCTTGACAATTTGAGATTTAAGGTCACAACAGCGTTAGATGATTTGCTCTTGCATGTGAAAACATCACCAAGGTTTATTCGTACAACGCACGAAAATTACGAGTATGAGCAAATTTTGAATCAGTCTAGAAAAATTATCACATACCAGGTTATTTTATTGTATATGTTTTTTCTCTCTATAAATAATATTGAATGATACAAAAAAGGATATTCTGAATAGTGCAATTCCTTGTTTTAGTTTTGAAACCTTTATCAGAGTTTATTTTCGAAATTAAGTTTGTACTGGATTTTCAAGAAATGTAGTTAGTTTAATGTCTGTTATCCCAATAAATCTATAGCTTTCCTTTCTAAAATTATTTCTAATTTTTAGAAAGAAAACCTACAGATTATGCGGGTAGAGTTATTAAGTTTCTATTAGATGAGTACTGAATATGGAAATATCTAAGGGACCAACAGAAGATATGGTACGGCAGGGTGAAAGTGCGATACGTCACAGTCGTCTCTTAGTTGAGCAAATGGAAGCAGAAGCGGATCGTTTACCAGAGCGTCGGGACCGTCTTCTTGATGCAGCACGTTCAGTAGCACAAGCAACTAGCAGAATGATTGATGCTACTAAGGTAGTTTACTTTTGTTGGTTATCGAAATTGAAAGATGCATTTCAAACACTGCAAATTCTGTTTATTTACTAATATTAAGGAATGTCAAGTCCATCCACAAGCAGCTGAATCACAAGTGGCATTACGCTCTGCTGCCGAAAAGCTGGTGACTGTAACCAGTGAGGCCACCAGTGAAGAACAGTCAAAAAGAACTATGGAGCATCTTGAACAGGTTCTATCACGTATTCTTCATCTTTTAGCATTTACGAAGTTTTAGTTTCATTTCATTAGAGGTTAAAATGTTCTAAACTGTTTTAGGCTGCAAAGCAAACAGCTGCCGCAGCTACACAAACCATAGCAGCAGCCAATTCTTGTCAGCCTTACATTCAGTCAAGAGCAGTAACTGAAACATTAATCATTGAATGTACGGAAACCGCTGAACGCGTACCACCTCTTATTGCATCTATACGGGAAAGTCAAGCAGCTAGGACTCCAAACGAGAAATTCCGTGCTCAAAGCAATTTAATTCGTGACACGACTCAGGTAATTTAAGAGAATTTTTATTTCTGTTATAATTATTATAATAGTATGCTGAGAAGTATTTTATTCATCTTGTTTTTGTCTGATCGATTTTTGCTTACTGATAGGCTTTAAAAGAATGAGTGCTAAGAATTAATTTTCTGGATGACAACCAATTCTATGCGAAATGCTTAAATTATTAAATAGGAAAGATTTATTTCAACGTGTGAAAGTGTATATCATATTTAATTCTTACAGTAAAACAGTTCTAAATATCTAAAAATGTTAGAAGGCTCTTCAGCTACAGGTTTTAATTTAATCACTTTTTCGTTTTATTTATTATCCGTCGTTTTACTACTGTGTAGATATCGGAAATAAATTCATGCTCATTTTACTTGCTTTTACTTCTGTTATTGTTTATTTTTGATTGTTTCACGCTATTTCATGCCTCTTAATTAGCAAGAAGTTAGAATGTTTCATTATATTGGTAATAACTGTATAATAGCTAATTTCTTTGCACTTAGTTTGTTCTTGTCTTATGTAGATTCGTTGTTTTTCAGCACAAGACAATATGTGTTAGTTTTAAAATGTCAAATTTAGGAAGATCTGACGTAAGTTTCAGTTTAGTTATTCAGATGGAAAAAGTACTACGATTAATGTTTACGTATTCAGAAAGGTTATAAAATTAGTAGAAGTGCTGATAAGCCTTCCAAGTAAATCTCTTGTAGACAGATCACGTGGAAGCACGATGGCTATAATCATGATCATGTGTTATTGAACATCGTCATTTGGGGATCACAGAAGAGGAATGAGAAACTTTTGGAGAATTGTTTTTTGGATTGAAATTTGCTCACTGTGTAGTCGATCATTTATTTCTTATTGAATGCCATTTTGCTATCATTTCGGTTTACAAGTTGTCCAACTTTACCTTTTATTCGTTTTTCTATTTTCTTATTTAAGCGTTCATTAATAATTTTCTGAAGTTATTCATCAGTTTTTTCTATCTTCAGACTTTTTGCACTAATTGTATTTATTTTCCAAGTTCATAAGTAAATTCAATAACTTTTAGGTGCTAATAATTTGTTATGAATATTTGCCCTTCTCTTTTTTGATTTTTTCAGCGCTGTTATTTTATAATATCTCAGCATTTACTGCCTTTGAACTTCTGAAGTTATCATATTTTCCAAATCACGCGCTGCCAAGAGCTTTATGTTTCAAATTGTCTCTGTAAAGCTTTCATTATAATTATTGCTTTTACTTCTACTGCTTTCATTTAATTTTTATAATGAAAATTGAAAAACGAATAAGAATTTGAAAAGTCGACTATTTCAATATTAATTTTATATTCAAATTCATCTCATGCTAAAAAGTTTTAAAAAATGTGATACAAAAGCAATCAATTATTTCTTGGATGTTCAGTTTTCTGAAATCTGTCAGTAAAAGTAGTCAGTTTTCTGCTGGTAAATATGTTATATGACGGTCAATAAAACTTAGTAATAAGTAGTAGTTATTCTGCAGCATGAAATTATTTTTCTACGAAGTTTTATTAATTTTTGCCATTTTAATCAAAATTGTGTATTTTGTTATTAATTGTTATTAATCTATTTTCATTTTGTTAGTAAAAATAAGTTACATTCGATAGTCTTTGGCACCACTCGTGAAGTTATTTGTTGTTTCTAACATCAGTAACAGATTAAGTTAACAGTAACCTGCATTCTCATGGCGTGCATAGTTAATATCAAGTAATATTTGAATTTGTTTGAATTTGAATTTTAATGTTTTATGAAGAGAAAATTTGCTCCTCAGCTTTACAATTGCTTCTGCAGCAAATTATGCTCTAGTCAAATTTGTTGATATTTTCCACCTTGTTGTGGAGACAAAATTATTATTTCAAGTTTCCAATATATTCTAACCCGTTGTGTTTGCTAGTATTGATGTTTGTGAGTAGTTCTTTTAAATGGTGTTTTGTTTCTAATCTTTTACTGATATATTTTCATCACAAAATATTATGCTTTATTTTCTGATTGTTGTCTGGGCTAGCCTTTCAAAAACTTCGTTATTTTAACTAATGGATTCAGTACAGCAGAAATTATTTTCATTTGAAGTTTACCTAGACAGCAGTCTATAGCATCATCAATCAACTTAAATGGTGTCATCTATAATTTCAAATTATTTTCAGGTATTACGTCCAGCAACACGACTTGTTGAGGTAGCTCGGCAGACAGTTGCTTCAGTTTCGGAACAACATGTAGCCAGTCATCTGCAATCTATCAGTCAGCAATTATCTACTCAACTGGCAGAGCTACGTGTTGCTTTGAACAATGCTCAACAGCTTAACTTTGAAATGCAGTTGGTGCATTCAGAAGAATTAATTCGTGAACTAGACAACGAGTTAATTGAAATTGGACGTGCTGCTCAATGTGGCCAACTGGCTGCGGTTCCAGGAGAATCAGCTGAAACTGCAACTTCTAAGTTAACGGGTGCTGCGAGACAGGTAAGTCGGTTTTGAAACCTTAGCAATATGTTTGTAGTGTTGTTGTGTTAATTTTATTGTCAGTTAATGTTCATGCTAGCTTTTTTAAGTATTAGAGATTGTAATCTTTAAGGTTAGCTCGACTTTAACACAGATGGTAAGTGCAGCTGCAACTGGCGACCGTCAGCATGTAGGAGCAAGCGCGATTGAAGCCGCACGTTCTTTGCGAACATTTACATCTACTGTCCATGGAGTATGTTCAACTAGAAAAGATACACCTGTAGACAGGTAATCCTCTTTGAAATGTCGAAAAATAATGCTGTATTAATATGATCGCAATAAATATAATTATCAATATCTCAGGTTCATCGTCTCGGCTCGCTCAGTAGTTCATGATTCTGGAAGAGTTTTTGATAGGGTTCGTGAGCAAGCAACACCTCAGCAACTTAATGATGCTACAAGACAAGTTGCAGTATCACTGCGACAGTGTTTATCATCTTTGCCAGACACACAGCGTATTGAAAAAGCTGTGAGTCAAATCAAATCATTCCGGGTAGGTTTTATAACTAGCAATTTTCAGCAATTATCTGCGATATATTTATCATCCACGAAAATTAATTTTTTTAGGCTCCAGAAATAGCGTCGACTGTAGATTTACGTAGTTCAGCCTCTCGACTTATTGAGGCTTGTTCACAGTTAGCAGTAAGCTTGCAAGCACCACAGGAAGCAGCAGCTGTTGATGTTTTTGTACGATCTTACACTGATTTCCATACCGCGATCGCACACGCAATTAAACAACAGCAGGTTAATTCGATTTCTGATTGTTATCAGAATAATCACATATTGCTATCTCATATATTGCTATTTTCGTTTGCTTTAGCTGTCTTCACTGTACATAATTTGAAGTTATTGAATTGTACAGTTTAGTGTTTGAGTATTATTACAGTATGACTTGATATAGTACTAGAAGGATTATGCCGTATTTTACTTACATTTGGCTAACAATGTTTAGGATGTCATACAAAGACAGCAGTGCGTTTCATATCTGGAAACAGTTCGAGAAGAGGCAGTGAATGTAGTGATGCGCACTCATGCTGCATCAATGGATGCTTCTAATGCGTCAGCACTGCAGTTGCTTTCTCAATCCACTCGTTCGTTAACCGAATCTATAAATGCTATAGTGGAGAACGTAAGTAGAGAGGCTCCCTGGCAACGTGAGTGTGATGCAGCCTTACGACAAATTAAGGTAAACCTACAGATTTAAAATTATAATTGAATTATAGATATTTTCAGTTTTTTAATGGTGTCTTTTATGATTGCAAATTATTTTTAGTCTGTACGACATATTTTGGATCGAGCTAATCTACCGGTAAATAATGAAGGTTATTACGAAAGTTTGGATTCCGTAACAGAACAAGCAAAACGATTGGGAGAAGGTATGACTGGTATAGCGCGACATGCGAAAAATCAGGATACGCAATCACTTTGCGAAAGTGTTCGCACAGCTGCAAATGCGATTTGTGGTCTTGCTGAGGGCGCTACTCAGGTTTTTAGATTTATTATTTCGTGCATGAAATTTGATACTGTTCAAAATTTCATTAATTGCACCTATTCTTATTTAGAGTGCATATTTGGTTGGAGTTGCTGATGTAAGAAGTCAGCCTGGATGTTCAGCTATCATTGATACTTCAAAATGTCGTCGTTCAGTGGAAATAGTTAAGCAGATTTGCCAACGTATTCAACGTATGGAATACACACAGCAGCAAATCCTTGATGTTTGTTATATGATTGTATCAAATTTCGCGCATTAATGCACAAATTTTGTCTGCCATAAGCAGTAGTAAACGGAACAGTAGATTGAAATGTAATGTGTAATATTGAAGCCCTAAATCAAAATTTTTTACTGCAGCTAAAAATGTGCATGAGGCTGATCTTGGTTTCATTCTTCAGGATGCCACTGTAATTGCTAAACACACGTCAACATTAGCCAATTTGTGTCGCGAGGCATCAGAAAGGGCATCGAATGTCAGTTTGAAAAAGCAATTCATTAACTGTGCCCGCGAAGTTGCCTCTTCTACTGCATCCTTGATAACTGCTGTTAAGCAGTTAGATAGTTCATTTACGTAAGTACTTTCTGTCGGTATTTTTATGATAGAGGAGAAATTTACAGTGCATACAAACGATGTTTTATTTGAGCAGGAATCATTTATAATTTTTATCTTAATACATAGCATTTAGACTAAGAGAAAATGAATTTCTTTTATGCAAAACTTTATAGTTTTCAAATTATTTAGTGAGAGGAACCAAAGAGAATGCTCAGAGGCAGCGCGATCGCTATATACAGCAGCAGAGCAGTTGGAAACATTTGTAGATAATCCAGAATTTGCTGCTGTACCTGCCAAAATATCTTCATCAGGGGAAGCTGCTCAGATTCCAATCTTAGAGTCAGGCAGAGAGATGCTGGATGCTAGCTGCGAAATGATCATGTAAGTGGCTTTTATTAATAATTCTCATTTTTGTCAATTTATACATGCTTTAAGAATTTATTGCTTTTAATTGTGTTTTTATTCTTCACCTTAGAAACATAACTTATGTGCAGAACAGCTAAGCAACTTGCTCTTTCTCCAACTGATGCGCCAACTTGGCAACGCTTAGCTGATAATTCGAAAGTTGTTAGTGAGAGTATAAAACGTTTGGTAGCATCCATTCGTGAGCAGGCACCCGGTCAAGTTAGTTCATCACTAATTCTTTTTATCTCAAGTTTTATTTCATTAAGGAAACTTATTCTTGGTGCTAAATAATCTCGAAGTACTGCGTTTTCTGCACAGAAAGAATAATATAAGTAAAGTTTAGTGACTTAATTATTTGTGTTCATTAAAGAATATTGTTTTTTTACATTTTGAAGTATTTTCATTAAAAAATTTATTAGGCTGATTTGGATCAAGCCATAATTAAGCTTCAACAAATGATTCAACAACTTGATCGAGCCTCAATGGATGCTTTTCAAGATCAGTTGCCCCGTAGCTCAGTGGCTGAACAGCAACTTCATCAGCAAATTTTGCATGCGTGCCAATCAGTTTATGATAGGTGAAAAATATCATAGTTTCTGTGAGACAGTTTAAGCTTTTATTTTTCGTTTCTGTTCCTTTTAATTATCTTTATTTATTAACAGTAATATTACTTCAGAATTAAGCCATTATGTGAAGCAGCAATTGAACATAGCGAAAAATTGAGTCGTGCTGTGCATGAACATATGGAAGCAATGGAACCACTCGTTTACTCATCCATACAAGCTGCGTCGATAACATATGACACGAAATCACAAACTACTATTTTTGAGCAATGCAAAACAGTCGTTGAGGCTGAACTACAGATGTTATATGCGAGCAAAAATGCTGGTGGAAATCCAAACGTTAGTCATTGCTTCCGGATTATATTTTTGAAATACAAGCTTTAAATTGGGCTCAAATATTTATTGTTTTAGATTTATAGCGACTAAAATTCTATTCCAGGCACGTGAATTGCACATAGTTTTAAATGATAGTGCTAATCAGTTGCGTGATGCGTTGACAGAAATGCAACGAAATATAAACCGAATGGCATCTGAAGCTGGTGTTATTCATGGTGTTGTAGAAAATATATCTAGATCTATAGCACTGACAGATGATGTCTCTTCGCAAACTGGCGATGGGACATTTGCTGACGCACAAACTCGTATGATAAATGCACTTGGAGAAATATCTCATATAGCTACTGATATGCCTCTTACACCTCCAAAATCTTTGGGACCTCTGGCTTTACGACTTTCTGAACGGTACTTGATTTTTGCTCATATTTAGTATTTCTTGATCATTTCTTTAATTGTTTTCAGTTATTCTGAACTGGCAAGTGATTCTCGTCTTGCAATTGCGACACTGTCTTCACCTAATTTAGCACAAAAACTGCGATTAGCTGTGCAGAAGTTGGGTACCGCATGCATAGAGGAAGTTAAAGTGGCTGGACAACGCCGTGCTCATCCAGATGACCAGGTGACTTGATACCGAAAGAAATTCATCGTTAATTGATGAAATTGAGTAATAGATAATGATTTTAAGATTTTAATTGACGTGCAAAAATGGTAGTTTTTTTAATATGCAATGGATAGTTCTTGAATTGAACAGTTTGTTTTCTTACTAGTAAGTGTGGAGGAAAACAGTTGGGTAGAACAAATCCAGACCAGTTACATATTATTTAGTTAAAAATGATGTTTCCAATCAAATGTCATAATAGAAAAGAAGATTCACTACTGCATTTATTTACTTGAAATTTAAAAATTTGAGCAAAATCATAGTCTCTCTTTTAGCAATATATTCTTTGGTGATCAAATTTCATTAAACTTTCGATTTTGTAATTTGTTTTTATTTAAATGATTCAATTTGCACTTCTCTGATCGAGAACAGTTTGTAAATTTCAGTTATCATGACGTTTCGGAGGCAAATCTATCTAAACGATTCACTTAAAACATTTCTGTTTTTGTATATAGGGATTTTTATCGTATATCCAGTCACTATATCATTAGACTGCAACAAGGATATTTCAATTAAATTAGTTTCATTATCATATTCGGTTATTCAACTTAGCCAATGTTTGAAATTTTGTTTACTTAATTTTTTGTTCTTGTGATGTAAAAATGTTTGCAGCGTATATTGGATGATTTGTCTCGTGGTTCACGATCGGTAGTAGAAAGAGTACAGGAAGTACTTGCAGCACTGCATGAAGGATCACGTGGGACCCAAGCGTGTATTAATGCCGCTAACACTGTGTCAGGAATTATTGGAGATCTTGATACAACGATTATGTTCGCTACTGCCGGATCATTGAATCCACAGCTTGACTCAGAAAAATTCGGTGATCACAGGTGATACTTAAACCCCAGATTTGTTTTTTCTTCCGATAATTAGGCTTTTTATTTTGATAATTAGAAAAGTAATTGTTATTTTCAGAGAAGCAATTCTGAAGACTGCTAAAGCCCTAGTAGAAGACACAAAAGCGCTTGTAGCAGGAGCAGCATCTAATCAAGAACAACTAGCAGTTGCGGCGCAAAATGCTGTTCGTACTATTGTCAGTTTATCTGATGCAGTTAAGAATGGCGCTGTTTCTTTATCTTCAGATAATGCTGAGGCTCAAGTTATGGTTATTCATGCAGGTACTATTTAGTTATGTCCCTTCTCTAGACGATTACAATTATAATTATATATATGATTAAACTCACACATTTTTTTTGGATTTAAAGCTGAAGAGATATTGCAGTTCGTGATGTAGCAGCTGCACTTTCAAACTTGATTCAAGCAACAAAAAATGCATCGGGTCGCTCGCTTCACGATCCTGCTATGGGACATCTTAAAGAGGCTGCCAAGGTAATTACGATTCTCGATCTTTTTTCCGTTTTTCCTTGTTTATTTATTTTTTATGCTTTTTACATTGTTTCCAAGGTATCCGATTTTATTTCGTTTTGTGAGTTTGTTAAATATGTTGCTTCAGTACAACTTTTTCAAATTTTTCTTTCCAGCAGTGATCTCCAGTATATTTTTTTATAGTAGGAGAAAGCTAAGCTAAGGTTTGGGCAAAATTATTAAGAGTTTGAATAAGGTAGTCTGCAGTATTTAGCTTTATTATGATAATAAATATTGATTTCCTAGTAGAATTGTTAGATTAATACCTCCATTATTTGCTTTTGTAAGAAATAAGAACTTTAAGAAACCGGATTAGGAATTCTTTGATAATTTTTCATGTTGTTCAAGTTAATTGTCGGAAAAAGTGTATAGTAATGTTCATGTACATTCAGCAATATTATTCTATCACTTTATTTTAATTTTAACTTACTTCAAGGTTATGGTTACAAATGTCACATCTCTTTTAAAAACTGTGAAAACCGTTGAAGATGAACATCAGCGTGGTACGAGAGCCCTTGAAGCAGCAGTTGAAGCCATTGGTCAGGAGATCCACTTTTATGATAGTGGAGAAGCATCTTCAAGGGGTTATTTACTTTATTATATTAAAGAAGCATGTTTTTTCATTGAGCTCATTTTTAGATTCTTCTAGCTGTTTTGGCATATGAGCTTCTTGATTGACGTTTGCTTTTGGGAAGGAATTGTTTAGTGGTTCTAAGCAAAAGATTATAAATTTCTGCAAATAACTTTAACTAAATTATTTATCAGTGAGAAGTATAGTTTAAAAAATTTAGTGCATATGAATTCGCAAGTATCAGTACATCTCAAAATTGTAATTTCATATTCTTTGTGAAGCGTAGACTTGGATGTCTATTACGCCGCTTCATATTGAAATCTTTACTTAATTTTTCTGAAGTTTGTGATAGTAGAAGTAATAATTTTGTCATAGAAATGGTGCTGATATTTTAACTTCTTCAATTTCTCTCCATTTCTAAAGTGATTCAGAAATGAAAGGAGTTATGTTTGCTCACCAGTGAAATGAATTACTTATTGCAGTTAATTTGTATTCTAGAGTGTTCTGTTTAGGAGGGGCCGCTGCAGAGGATGTTATCCGAACAACAAAACAGCTGACTACAGCAACGGCTCGTGCAGTAGCTGCAGCACAAACATTACAACAAAGTGATATTATTGCAGCGGCCAATCTCGCTCGACAGTCTGTTTGTGATTTGTTAGCAACTACTCGAGCTGCTGCTCTTTCTGCTGACTCTGCAGATGCTAGGTTTGTTTTATTGTTTACCCATTTAATTAAAGTAATCAAGCTTTCTATATCATGTCTTCTTCTAGTATTTTTTTAAAGAACTAAAATGATTTAAAATTCTTGTGAGATAATCATTTGAAAACTTTGTGCATACTTTGTTTTATTTTCACTATTCCCATTATTACAAGAATTAAATTAATTTTTCAGTTTTGCGAGCTGAATTCCACAGTCATCTTCGTATTTCTTTATTTAAAAGGGTTTTTTGTAGATACCGTACTCTAGATTGTGGACGGGAAGTTGCTGTACAGGTGCGCTCACTTCTTATGACGTTGCAGTCTCTTATTGTGCGTCGAGATGATCCATATGCGCGAGAAGCTTTACTCGAAGCATCAAAAAGAATCGCTAAAGTAATTAATTCAACATTCGTAGTTTTTTTTTTGGCTTTTCAAAGAAAATATTGTTAATAATTGGCAGATATTCTACTTCTTTAGTAATTTACATGTCGAAATGCATTGTTGTTTAAAACATTCAGTGTTACGTGAATCTTGTATGGAATCCATTTTTGTTTTGCTTCAGGTGGTCGGTGAGCTTATAAACTGTGGTGAATTGTTAAAAGGTGATTCATGGACTGACCCGTCGGATCCAACAGCAGTTGCCGAAAATGAACTTATTGGCGCAGCAAATTCTATTGAAGCAGCTGCTGTAAAGCTCTCTCAACTTAGACCGCGTCAAACTCAGGTAGAAATAAAACTACGATCACAGTATGCCCGACTTTTGGTGATTTAAAAAAAATCTGCCATGCTTTCTTTACACTATGCTCTTTTTCCAATTTCAGATGATGTCAGAGTGTGTGATAGAATTTTAGTCGTTCTGGTTTCACATTGGATTTTAAATACATGGATATATTTTGTGCGTTGTCATGTTTGAATGAGTCTAACAATTTGAAGATAAATCTGAAATTATAGTGACGTAGTTTTTTAAGAGCTTCATGCATGCATTGTTGTGATTTAAAATACTTAAAAAAGTATTTCTGACCCAGGAGTAAAGTCATTTACTTATTATGGATTAGTATGGCAGCATTTCTTGCATATGCAGTGTTGATATGTCTGATATTCTTGGGTTGTGCGAAGTCAACCGGCATGTCAGACATATCGGCCACTGTGTATTGCTCAGTATCCATCTAGCCAACCCAAACTTTGTAGTGTTGCTGTTTGCAATTGTTGTGATTTCATGGTTTGACTTTAATTTTGTGCATTTTTTCCAACTTAAAACTCTAGGTGCTTGAATTTTCAATCTTAATGTGAATTTTTATTTCTGCCAAGTTTGAAACAAGCCAGTCGCATTTATGGCTGCTGTACAACTCTCACTAAAAAGCATGAATGTCTGTTGCCATAAGCATGTTATTTCCCGTACTTGATCCTGATTTCTGAACTTTTATCAAACTTTAAATGTAGGTATGAATTTAGAAAATAGACGATTCGTTGACTTTCGATGAACAAATTCTGGAAGCAGCGAAGTCGATTGCGACCGCTGTTCAAACTCTTGTTAAAGCAGCGTCTGCGGCGCAGCGTGAGTTAGTTGCTCAAGGAAGGTAATATCTTTGAACTGCTTATTTTTTGATCCATTTTATCACAACCTTTTTTAAACATAACGAGAGATCAATGAGTCTCATGCAGATTTTATCATGCGATTCTGTCAGTATTCGCAAGTCATATTCACTGTGATTTCCCCTGTGTAATTTTCCGTATTCATTATTAAATTCTGTATAGTTCCAGATTAGACGCTCAGCCAGTATTTGCGTCTGACGACTACCAGTGGTCAGAGGGACTGATTTCAGCGGCTCGGCTTGTCGCTACGGCTGTCCATCAGCTTTGTGAAGCAGCTAATGCGCTTGTACAAGGTCATTCTTCAGAAGAAAAACTGATTTCAGCAGCAAAACAGGCATGTATTAGATGATAAGATTTCGGGATAGACTTTTTATGGGAACAATATATTTGGAACATTGTTAATGCTTTCATTTCTTCATCCTTTTTGAAGTTATTAAAAATGTTATCAAATCGCAACTATGCTGTCTTTAATAGAAATTTTCTCGATATTTGACGATTATTTGTAGTAATTTTAGGTGGCATCTTCAACTGCACATTTGCTAGTAGCTTGTAAAGTAAAATCAGATCTGGACAGTCGTGCTATGCAGAGGCTACAAAGTGCTGGACATGCTGTAAAAACAGCTACTGAGCACTTAGTGATGGCAGCTCGTTCTGCTTTACATGAGGATGAACGTACATTTATCATTTCACAGCGCATGGTTTCTGGCATTGCACAGGTGATTTAATTTTCCACTTTCACATAAATTAATGTGTTCCATTTCTTTCAAAATATGATTGGCGAATTCTTTTTTGTACCATGACTTTATTATGCAATAAATTTATAAAATTTGTTAAAAAATAACAATCAATTAAAAGTTTAGAGTGTATATTTTTATGTTAGTTTGTAAAAATATTTGTTGATAAAAGTAAATGATGCATCATGTTTATAGGTAATGGATGCTCAAGAGCAAGTAATTAGGAAAGAACGTGAGTTAATTGAAGCTCGAGGAAAATTAGCAGCTTTGAATAAAGCTCGATATGAACGTGGTCTTTCTCCTAGTGCTGAACGATGAATACTTTACATCCATTCGATTAATTGTGCTTCTTCATTGCTGTTATATTTTTTGTCAATATGCGACTAACAGCGCAGCAGCACTGTTTATTTCTTCGGAGATTTGTTTTGGTTTAAGCAACATATCATGGAATCTAGTCAAATTTTTTTTTTCTACAGCTTCTATAATTATGTTAAAATGGTATTTTAAAGGTGTGCTGCTTTTAGAAGGTCAGCGGTTGTTGCTGTTAGAAGTGTTATAAACTTCTTTCACTAGCATATACACTGCCTTTCGTAGATGAACTTTTGTATTTTGAATTTGAAAATATTTTATCACTTTCACCATTGCCAATTTTTTACGATTTTTATTTTACAAGAAACATTTTTATTCGGGCAAGATTCACTAGTTGCTGAAATTCATGATATCTAGTTTTCTAATAAATCCTGATATATAAATCTCGTGTTTTTACTAGTAGCAAAGATTAATTTGGTTTGGAGTATTCAGCTGGACAATTAAATTAATCTGGTACATAACCCTTGGAAATTATTACTTATTGTTGCATTTCCTTTCGCTCTCTGGTGTATTTATTTGCATGATTCTTCAACAATATCTTGCAGCTATGTAAAAGCTTAAATATGTGTGCCTTGTTTATTTTCGTTTTACGTCTCTGCTTCGATATAGTAGTGGTATTGGTAATAATACAATTATTGTTATTATTATTATTATTTACTCTTGCTATTATTATTATTATTATT